TGATTTGGGCAATATTTTGCAAATACTGTTAGTGCGGGCTCCTCCGTTTACCTCTTTGACGCAGTCGTGATCAGAACTGGGTTATTTGCGGATGGACGGCGGACGGAATGGCATTTATATCCTCGATAGTTGATTGGAATGGACGATAGTTTGCTCTTTATGTCTTTTTGGATCGATAAAGTGCAGATAAACCTAGTCGCCGTAAGCGTTACCGGAAGCTACAGTCAAGAATATGACTGCGGAGTGGGCGCTGGAGAACTATCGGGCGAAATACCGAAGAAAAAAAGAAAAAATCGGAAAACGGATGACGAAACGGTTTAAATTAGAAATCGTGGATCGTTCAATTTATTTCTTGTAGTGTCGGTGTGTTTGTTTGGAAATTGTCTTTTTATTTTTTATTAATTTATTCGGAGAGTGGACGATGTTGGAGTTGGGGTAGCGATCGTGAAAAGTGGCTGGAGTGCACGAATTGTACAAAACCGCGAATTTTATATTAAAATTGGCACTTGCGCGGAGTATGTATGTAGTGTATGGAGTACGGTATTTTTCTACGGCGGTGGTATTTTTATTGTATGGAATTATGTTATGTATATAGTTGGCAATATATTGCGGCCAACTATGGCAATAAATGTATGAATGTATGGAAGTAAACATATGTTGTGAGGTCCTATTTCAGGCTGCATCAGTCTGTCCAGGGTCCGCTACAAGAAAATTTGTAGTTTGTTGGTGACTTCAGGTGTCGCGCTGGCTTGAAAAATGCTGTAGGCAAGCGAGAAATGATGAAGCGAGAGTTTTTATTTTCTAGTTTCTTGGTTTTATTCAGTATTCTTTTTCATTCAATTTAATTCTTTTACGTTGCTACTCTGACTCGTAGTTGAATGGTGCGCTGGTGGACTGCGTAGTGCAGTGTCTTGGGTGTGTGACTGAGGGACTGCGTAGTGCAGTGTCTTGGGTGTGTGACTGAGGGACTGCGTAGTGCAGTGTCTTGGGTGTGTGACTGAGGGACTGCGTAGTGCAGTGTCTTGTTTTCGGGCTGATGGACTGCCTGCTCTTTCGGCCGATCTTGGCCCTTTTATGCAGCTGGCGATCTGAGACCCGGAAATAATTGCTTATTGCTAACTTTGATTATTGGTGACAATAATTGTGGGGCGTGGTAAGTGGGTCGAAGCTGGGTGCTTCGTTGACAATTGCTTAGTGGATCAGTGTGTTTTTGCTGAGAGTGTTTAGCTGAGGCTGCATCGCAGTAGGTGCGGGCTGCAGTTGGGAAAGGTGATATCTGAATTTGGGTCAATGTTTCGAGGCCGAGTGGTTGCGAAATATCGCCAAGAAGTGGGTGACCGAGAATTTCGTGCTGTGGTTTTCGCTGATCGAGAGTTCTTAATTTTAGTAATTCCGTGCGTTGCTTAAGACTATTTTATTTCCCGGAGGTGCTGACACACCGCTATTTGTGGAGAACCGTGGTTAGAGCCATTGTTCGTTAGCTCTGGGTATATCAGTTAGATTATTGTCTCCCGCCAGCGTGGATGCGCTGACCCTCCGCCGTTTGTGACGAGCCATGGCTAGAACCATGGTTCGTTACAATGTGTGGTTATAAGTATGGAAATAAAACACTTAATTTTAATTGCAGTTGCACTCGGAATGTGCCAGTGTATATTTTTATTGGGGTGGGTCGTGCATGGAATGTACTTGTAGAGACACGGATGCAGATGTGTGTGTATGTACGCAAGCCGCTCTCAAGGGCTGGAATGTGCGTACATACATATGTTCGGAATGCACTTGGTTTGAATTAATTTTTATTTGGTTAATATGTCCGCAAATCATGGACAGACACAAGGAATCGAAAGAAGCTACCGTAGCACTGGTAGTTGGAGGTGAATGACGGGAGAACGGCCGGAATCGCCGATAATATGGCGGTGTCGAAAAAGGAAGAGACACGGATAGCGGATGGCACAGAATGAAGAAATAAGTACATATATAAGAATATATATATATAAGAATATATATATGTACTTATGTCGCAGAACTCGGACTTTTCGGAATTTTGGAACACAAATCGCGAATGGAAGGGATTTGTGGCACACGAAAATCGTACTTATCTTGGGATCCTGGTGGTGAAGGCGATGCCGTGCTCGAAGGCTGGATATGGTTGGGGAAGGCGAAGTAAATCCGGCTCGAAGGACCAATGTTTGAGCGAAGAGGCGATGCGAAGTCGCACGATTTGATTGATGATTTCCCACAGATAAATACAAGAGGCAGCTAGTTCCAATTTCTTCAAAGTGTACAGGTTTATTCGTAGGGTAAATTCGTATATATATATAGTCGCGTGCAACAGCCAGCCGTTTTGCTTAGGGTGGAAAAGCGAATTAAATGAATTAAATGATCGGTGGCACTCAAGCTGCCGAGGGCTGTCGGCGGCGAGAGCGGGAGCGTGGGCGACCGCTTGTGTAGCTGGAACACTAACAGCGATGTGTGGCTGGAATGCCCACAGAGCGGTTGCCCCGCCAGCGCCGTCCTCACTCTGAACTGCTTTAATATATTCAAATGCGTCCGTAAAGAATTTAGTTTTGTAATATTTTTGTCTCTTAGCATTTCTTAATCTAAAAAATCTTTCACTCGCCTCGTCTCAGTATTTTTTAGGAATATAATTTGTATTTACAGATAATTTTATGGTATTATTTGATATTATTTTTTTGGTTGAATTATTTAGGTTTTCTAATGTGCTAATTTTAATCTTAGAGAAATCCTCGATTACTCTTTTGTGTACAATTTTATTGCTAGGTTTGATAGAGTAGTTCGAAATATCAATAACTATAGGGAAATGGTTGCTGTTTGAAATTTTAGAGTTTTTAGATTAGATTTTAGATTAATTTACCAGTGTAATGTCTAGTGCTGAAGAATAATTTGGATTGGGTGAACAAGTTGGAGAGCCATTATTTATGCAAAAAAAAACTGAATTCAATAAAGCTCTCTTCAAATAATTACCTCTAGCATTCTGTATGATGTTTCCCCATATGGACGATTTGGCTTTAAGGTCCTTCATTCCCCCTATAAAAGTCAGGCCATTTAACGAAGCTGCTTTAGTAAATATATTCTTACATCCTGATTCAAAAGTTTGTAGATCGATGTTTGGGGCACAATACACACTAAAAATATTTATGTTTTGGGAGAGATTTTCTGTACTTAGACCTATGACTTCAAGACTTGTATTGCATTTCAAAATTTTAAATTGTATATTTTTCTTTATATAAATTCCAACACCTCCGTAACCATCCTACCCCTCTTTACAGATAAAGTTGAAATTTAATAAACTACACATGGCATTGGTTTTAATCCAAATTTCAGATATTATGGCAATATCAATGTTATGGTTAATCAAGAAAATTTCTAGTAGATGCTTATTATTATTTGTAGTAAGACTTTGAATGTTGTATTGTAGTATTTTCATTTGAGATAGTTAGAATCAATGTAAATAAAAAAAAAGAACTAAAGAAAATAATAGATATATAAAGGGAGAAACAAAAAATTAATCAAATTAAGAGTCTTGAAATTAATAAATATTAGTTATACATTTTACTTAAATCAATTTTACAGTTTGTTTGCAAAATTGTTGCATTTAGTTCCTCTAGGAATTTTCTAGTATCTATATTCATATTATTGTTGTTTGTATCTGTAAGAAAATGGGAGATGTCTAGAGAAAGCTTGTTAAGGCTTTTTTTTTCAGCTGTGTTAAGAGCCGTCTCATGTTGTATATTATTTCTGGATGTTCAGGGAGTGAATCGTTCACTTGGAACATATTCATGCTCTCTTAAACATTCTGCCAAGCTTTTATTGTGTTTTGTGCATTTAGACTTTCCGTATTTTTATATTTGTTGTTTTTAACAATTTTGTTAAAGGGTTTAAAAGAATGTACAGTTTCTGCCGTGGAAGGCCGGCGAAAATCCTCCAGCTGAACCCTCCCCGAGGGTGCCGGCTGGGCAATGGGCACTGCATTATCCCGGATCGGGTAATGCACTGTCGCTTGCTCTGTCCGAGGTAATGCAGTGTCTAGCCAAGGCCAGGTCCAGGTCCTCCCGACCAAAATTGGGGGAACTGAACCATGGCCATGGCTGGAGGTGCCTGGCGGGTAGGCATAAAACGCTAGGGGTGGTTCCCCCGATAAACATCAGCTACGTATGGACCTTCGGGCCTAGTATGGAGCGGACAGACGGTCCAACACGGGTTGGGATGTCAACCCAAACGTCGATGGAAAGCGTGAATGCTACCAACGGCGGGCACGGGGAGGAGCAATCCTCTCTGCGTGTCACACCGCGGACACGGCGGGAGCAGGTCATGTCAGTTGTAATGCTACTGCCACAGAACAGACTCACTCCAAGCTACTCAGACCTTGAGAGCGTGCTCTCCGTCAGCAAGACGGAGGAAGACAGCCTTCTCCGCTCACATGAACGTGGTTCCACCTCCCTGCGTAGGAAAGGGCCGAAGCGTTCCAGGGAGGGGCAATACGAGGCAGCGCTCAAGATCCAAAGCTGGCTCCAAGGCAGAAAGGACATCTTCCAAGAAGTGAAGTCCCAGCCAGCCTGGGTTGAGCAGAAGGTAGAGGAGGGCTGTTTACACTTTGCGCAGATGCCGCAATTGAAAGCGACGAAGGGCGAATTTGCCAACAAGGTGGAGGAGACTCCCGCCACCAAAAGGCAACGCTCGACCGAGAGCCCCATTAAGGACACTCCGGCGAGCAAGAGGCAACGCGGGCCAAAGGGGCACGACCTCCAGCCAAAACGGCAAAGAAGCCTTAGCCCAAGGCGAAGGTCAATGAGGTGACCAAACGACACCTGAACGTGGCACTCATTTACCGGAGCGACGAGAATGGCAAGATGACGTTGGCGCGGTGGAAGATGGTGCACGCGCAGCTCGTCGAATCGCTGTTCGGAAGAATGGTGGAGGACCCAACGGACCCCATGCCCACGTTTGATGGTGCTGGGTGCCTGAACGGGGTCAAAATACTGAAATGTATGGACGACCCCAAACTCAAGTGGCTGACGCAAACGGTCTGCCAACTGGAGGCGTTGTGGGAGGTGGTGGACAAGAAGATAATCCCGTCCATACCAAGGGCGAAGATACTCTTCCGCATCGCAATCCAAGGGGACCGTGCGCTGAGGCTGCTACAGCGGCTGAACCCAGACGTGCTAACTGCGAACTGGAAGATCCTGCACATTGGGAGCCCACTACCCCAGGAGGGGGGACAAAGTGCGATGCTCCAAATCAGCAAGGAGGTAGAGGACCTGCTGTACCCCAGATTCGATAAGATGGCGTGAGGCATGGGTAGTGAATACCTTCGCCTCAAAAAGCGCCACCCCGACGACAATGCTGTGGCCGGACTAAAGTCCTCCAATTATAACCTTTTCCACTCACCATCGGTAAGCAGGAACAGAATCGCCGTACTCGTACGAAAGGGCATCCATGCTTACCTTTTGTCTCACTACAGCACTGACGACCTGACTGCGGTGATGCTAGAAAGCGAGGAAAAGCACATTATGGTAGCTTCCTGCTATAAGGCACACGATAGGCCAGCTCCACCGGAAGAGCTAAGGAGTCTGGTGGCCGAAGCCAGCCTGAAAGACCGGCAACTTCTGGTTGGTACGGACGCCAATGCCCACCATAGCGTGTGGGGAAGCCCCGACATCAATGACAGAGGTGAGTCACTTCTAGACTTCATACTATCAACTAACCTAGATGTAGCAAACGTAGGGGAGGAACACACCTTCGTAGGTCCCACCTCGTCTAACGTACTAGATCTAACACTCGTAACGGGAAAGAGTTCTTTGGTATCTGGCTGGAGAGTCCTTGAAAGACCATCCTTCTCAGACCACAAGTACATTCAATTCAAGTGCGAATTTAAACACTCTCCAAAGATAACTGTTTATAGAAACCCCCGGAACACAAACTGGGAAAAGTTTAAAAAAACAGTTACTTCGAAGCTCGCGACTCGCCCGGGCACAGTGAAATCCCCGGAAGACATAGAAACGTCCCTAGAGACCCTGTCCAAGGAACTACTGGATGCGTACCACGCATCATGCCCACCCTCGAGAACGAAAAAGAGGACCAAAGCACTCTGGTGGAACCGGGACTTATCGCTTCAAAGAAACAACCTCAAAGAATTCTTCAAAATCGCCAAACAGGCGAACGAGGAGATAATCAATGAGGAATACAAAACCCTACTCAGGGAGTACAAGGAGGAAATACGTAGGGCACAAAGAAACTCGTGGAGGAACTTCTGCTCCAATATCGAGAAAGTCCCAGAAACGGCTAGACTTCGGAAGCTGCTATCAAAGTAACCTACCATACAGAGTCAGCTGAAGCGAGAAGATGGACAGTGGACTGAGGGCAGTGAAGAAGCCCTAACAGCACTAATGGAAGCTCACTTCCCAGGATGCACCGAGGTTGCTGACGCTACAACGCATCAGGACCTAGTAACTGAGGAAGACAGGTCCCCCAACAGGTCTCATATCGTCTAAGAAAATCCACTGGGCTATAGACTCCTTTGCGGGTACAAAAGCACCTGGACTAGACGGTATATTCCCAGCCATGCTACAGGTGACCAACGACGTGATCACCCCATGGCTCTCTGCAATATACTCAGCTTGCCTGAGCACAGGCTATATCCCTATCCAATGGAGGACCTCGGGGATTGTCTTCCTTCCAAAGGCAGGAAAGTGCAGCCATATGAGCCCCAAGGATTATAGACCGATAAGCCTCACCTCCTTTCTACTCAAAACACTAGAAAAGCTGCTGGATCTACACATCAGGAATGATGTAGGAAGACTGATGTCAACCAACCAGCATGCCTACACCAAAGGGAAATAGGTAGAGACGGCACTGCACTCGCTAGTAGCCACCATCGAGAGAGCCCTCCATAATAAAAAGTATGCTCTAGGAGTGTTCGTAGACATATCCGGAGCATTCAGCAACGTCACTACGAACGCTATTATGGACCGCCTTGAAGCGACCAACACACATCCTGCAATCAACCTCTGGATAAAGAACCTTCTAAGTTGCAGACGGAAGTGGGGCACCGCTTCCATGGTGAGGGGGGCGCATAGAGGCACACCACAAGGTGGGGTCCTGTCGCCCCTCCTGTGGAACCTGGTGGTCGACGACTTAATAAAGAGATTCGAGAGGAGAGCCCCAAAAATAACAGCCTATGCAGATGACATAAGCATAATTATTACGGGAGTATGTCCATCGACCCTCAGCTCCATAATGGCATCAACACTCAGGGAGATATGTGAGTGGGCAGGAAAAGTAGGACTCAGTATCAACGCGGACAAGACGGATCTCATCCTCTTTACCAAGACATGCAAGGTACCGGCATGGATCCCTCCGAAAATTGATAAAACCAGGCTGACCCCGAAAGCACAAGTCAAATACCTCGGCATAGTACTGGATAGCAAGCTGGCATGGAGGCCCAATGTAGTGGAAGGGGTGAAGAAGGCCACCATTGCGCTATACGTATCCAAGAAGATGCTTAGCAGCACTTGGGGCCTGTCACCGGCACAGTTCAATTGGCCGAGACATGACCAGTATATCTGACTACATGATCCCCCAAACTGGCCTGGATGTAAAAACAACCTCATATATGGGACCCGACGATTGGAAAGGGGTCGGGACCAGACTCAACACCTCAACATCTACACTGACGGCTCCAAGATGGAAGGAGGAGTAGGAGCAGGCATATACTGTACAGACCCTGAGATAAGGCTGTCCTATAAGCTACCGGACCAATGCAGCATATTCCAGGCGGAAGTCTTCGCCATACGGAAAGCGGCAGAGGCTGCTCAGTCTATGGATCGTCCACACGACGTGATCAACCTGTTCGTAGACAGCCAGGCGGCGATAAGATCCATGCAGTCGTCGGCGGTCAGTTCCAGAAATGTCTTGGCAAGCAGGGAGGCACTAGATACCCTAAGCACGACAAAGTCAGTGCGGATCTACTGGGTTCCCAGCCACCAAGGCATCGATGGCAACGAGATGGCGGTCGGTCTGGCTAAGGACGGCGTCGGGCTGGCAAACGACAGAACTGAGAACGTGCCTGTCTCCCTTAGAACGCTCCAAAGCGATTTAGAGAAACGGGCCGACACACAGGCAAGAAGCAAGTGGAGCAGAACCACCACCTGCAGAACCTCAAAAACCATGTGCAAGGAGCGCAATAGGAAACTCAGCCACTACATACTGCACCTCCCACGGAAGGACTGCAGAGTGTTGGTGGGAATACTCACAGGTCACTGTCTGGCCGCGGAACATGCTGTCAAACTAGGCATCACCAACAGTGGCAACTGCAGGAAATGCGAGGAATCCGGGGCAACTGAAACCCTGGAACATCTCATCTGCAACTGCCCGGCTCTCTCAAGGGCTAGGAGAATATACCTGGGCGCCCCGGTACTGGCATCACTGGAAGATGCCTCCAAGAGGACGCCAGGGGAACTGCTAGCCTTTGCCAAAAACACTTCGATCCTCAAGGACTTCAAAACTTCATAAATATACTCGAAAGGTTCATACTCCCTCATCTGGACAACTAAGGGCCATATTGGCCTATGCGTGGCCCCGTGAGGGCCGTCTGGGTTAACCTAACCTAACCTTTCTGCCGTGGAAAACATGTGGTTTTGCAACAGTATATTTTCATTTGTCGATTTTTGCCAAAAAGGTTGCGGAAAAGAATCGTGATCAAAAATATCAACTGATTCCGTCTTGCCAAACAGCGCCGGATATCTAGTTTTGACCTCCAATCTAGATAAATTTTCCACCGTCATACATTTTTTTATAGCATACGCTCGCTTTCTAGCAGGACAAAAAACAGATGTAGCTACATGATTTTCTTTGCAATTTGCAGAGATCACATCAGTACAGATAGCTTCTAATGAATGCGAATGCTCTGCTTGTTTGCAATGTTGAGCAAAATGTCCAAACCTATAGCATCTATAACATTGACTAAAGGGAACATAATGTATCACTGGTACTTTTGTATAAAGAAATGCAACTTCTGAAGGAATTTGTGCAACTTTAAACAAGAGTTTAAGTCTTGAAGTTGTAACAAATAAATCTTTGTTATTCTTATCTCTTGTTTTAATTCTAATCAATTTCTCAAAAGGAACCGGAGAGTCGATGTATTCAGCTAATAATTTGTCAGAAATGGATGTTGGTATATTAAAAATTAGACCCGTTTTAAAAACGAAATGATTAAAAATTTTAGGTTCATAACCATGATTCTTTAAATTAATCATCACAAAATTGATTGGCACTCATTGAGTTTTTAAATTCAATTTTACATCTGCCAAAGCCTATCTTTGACACAGTCAGAACACAGTCAACTTTCAGTTTCATTAATATACAACTAAGATCATTGGGGTTAATGGGAAATCTTTTTGATTCACTTTCTTTGCCAGTAATTTTGTCTAAATACACTATGTAGGGTCCCTTGTATTTGTCATCGTAAAATATATTCACTTTTTTTTCTTGAGCTACTTTTGTTTTCTTTTCCATACTCGTTTTTGTTCCAGAAATTTCTGACATTTCTGTCGCCATATTTTTTTCTTCACACCTAACCTTAAATTTTTTTGTTACTTGTTCAACATAATTATTTTTTCCAGATTCCTGTTTTGATCCAATCGTATCGGCCTCAGTAACCTCCATTTCTTCATATTCGCTACTGAAGTCACTGTGATCATCAGATTTTCCTCTTTTAGAAGTTAATCTTGCTTTTTTAGCTTCTGAATATTTTGAATCCGTGGTCAGGAGTTTCTCCTTGGCCATGGAGGCCATCTTGTGTTTTTGTTTGTAACTAATGTTATATTTGTTGGTTTTTATCACTTTAACAAAAAAATATTTGCCAAAAATAAATTTATTCTATATTCAGAAACAGAAAATATATTTGACTTGTTTTTTTGACGTTTAATTTTTATTTTTGTTTGTATTTCCGCACCAGACTGTTCACCTTTAAGGTTTGATTCCGACTGTCTGGCGCATTTTGCTTTCAGCTTTTGGATGTATAGGATGAAGGTAGCTACGGCTCTATATAGACGTCTTCAGTCCGAAAAGTAATCCACTGCAAAATCAAAATGCTTTAGTTTCGTTATTATGAAAACATGCTTACGTAATTCGGATTGGTCGTTATTTTGACATCTTGCTGTGGCCATTTATCTTCCGATTGTCTAAGGAATTGTGGGCCTTGGATCCACCTGGATGCATCGGGAGTTTTGAAGAATTTTGTAGCTGAGTCTGCAACGTTTTCCTTCGTAGGAATCCAGCGCCACTGTTTACGGCTGGTGTTATCTATGATCTCACCAACTCTATGCATAACAAAGGATTGAAATTTTCGAGGGTCCATAGTTAACCATTGAAGAACGGTTTTAGAGTCGGACCAGTATGTGCTTGAATTGATTCTAAGTCCTCGAGTGTTCATGGTTCTTTTTGCTAGTCCCACGCCAAAAGCTCCATGCGTGGTATTGAGACGGGTTTCAATGGTGTGACTTTACATTTGGCTGCAACTAATACCGTGTCGATGTCCTCTCCTCTCTTTATGCGAAGGTAGGTGACTGCGGCATAGGCGTCTTCACTAGCGTCTACGAATGTATGCAAGTCACTCTGGTCTGCATTTGGCAGCAGGTATGAGTAGTAGCGAGGGAATTCCAGTTCTCCAGCTTGAAGAAGTACGCTTTTCCATTGTGTCCAAAAAATAAGGAGTGTATTTGGAATCTCTGCGTTCCATGTTATACCAGCTCGCCAGAGTTTTTGGAGACCATCTTCAGACCAATAGTGTAGCATGATAGCAAGCCCAGTTGGTCGAATACGGACATCAATACTTGTAAGGCTTCGCGTTTTGTTGGAGCTGTTTCACCATTCAAAACGTCTCTTTTCAATCTTGCAAATCTAAAAATATACATAACGAGAAGGAACGTGTGAGTCGCTTCTTGGGACGCGACTCTACTTATACCCGTACTCAGTCAGTATATACATTTTTGAGCATATGATTTTTTAGAATTTTAGAATAAAAAAAAAATGTTAAATTTTACATTTTTTTGCTACATCTGTTATCTACATCTACATCTGGCGAAATTTTGAAATATACTTGTAGCAGTGTGATATCACATGAGTCTGGAAAACGAATTTGGTTTCTCTAGCTCTTATAGTCTCTGAGATCCAGGCGCTCATCGAGACGGACAGACGGACGGACGGACAGACCGACGGACAGACGGACATAGCTATATCGACACGGCTATTGATGCTGATCAAGAATATGTATACTTTATGTGGTCGGAAACATTTCCTTCTTTGCGTTGCACACATCCACTTTTACCACAAATCTAATATACCCCTTAACTCTTTATTGAGTACGGGTATAAAAACGTCTCTGGAGGGTTCCCAGTACATACCAAGCACCTTTTCGGGCCCCCCTAATTCTTTTGGGTGTTGGTAATCCAATTGTCGTTCTCCAAAGTATTGAAGTACAGGGGTCGAGTTGGAGCTCCAGTTTCTTATGGTGAATCCTCTCTTGGTATGGATGTCTCGGATTGTGGATGCAACTGCAATTGCTTCATCGTCGTCTTCGTAGCTGTCAATGCGATCGTCTACGTAGTGCGCTTTTGTAATGAACTCGTATGCTCGTGGATTTAGATTTTTGAATTCCTGTGCGTTTTTGTCGCGGACATGGTGAGAAATGCAAGGGGCGCAGCTAATTCCAAATGTCATTGAGCGCATGACGAATATTTTTGGAGTCTGATTATCCTTGTGGAACCATAAAAATCGTTGCGCATGCGTGTCGCTATCTTGAATGTTAATCTGATGAAACATTTCGGCAATGTCTGCACACACGGCTATTCTGCCGACTCTGAATGCCATTAGGACATCGATTAACGGAATAAGATAGTCAGGTCCGTTTAAAATAAAATCATTAAGTGATTTTCCATGGCTCTTGGCTGCTGCATCCCAGACTAGCCTTATTTTACTTGGTTTATTCGGATTTAAAGCAATAAAGATCGGTAAATACCATACGCGATCCATCTGCTTAGCTGCGTCTTTGGGCTCAAGTTCAAAAGCGTACCCTTTTGATATCAGATTATCAATTTGGACCTGTATTTTTTCGAACAGGTCTGGGTCTTTTCTGATTTTAGCTCGTAGACATTCAAGGCGCTTCATAGCGGCGGAGTAGCTTTCCGGCAGAATGGCTTCCTTATCTCGCCAAAGCAGGCCGGCTTGATAATGGCCGTTTACCTTTTTACAAGTATCCTCGCGAATACGCATAGCCTTTTTGTCATCTTCAGAGTGGAGCTGCCGTGGTGTGCTTGGATCTACGTTAAAATCTCCTTAACCGCTTTGTCGATTTCACTCCAATTACAGCTACAATGATGCAAGGAAATATGTCTGTTTGTATTAATTGTTCCTTGGATGCTCCATCCTAGTGTACACTTCGATGCGATGGGTGCATTTCCAAAGTCCAGTTATTGGCACCAATTAGCAGCATTGGTTGTGCGTTGGAGTACGATTTTATTGGCAATCCTTGGAGGTGGGAATATTCGTTGCACAGTTTGATGACATCGACGCTTTGTTTTGGTAGCGCGAGATTTTTGACTGAACGTACATTATTGAGCCATAGCATTTTGTGGCTTCCCGGTTCTGATATTTTAATGTGAGCTCTAGCGGATATATTCTCCATTCGAATGGTTTCGCTGGTCCATTGCAGGCAAAGAGGATCCGGAGTCGAGGAAACCTGAAGAATTCCCATAATGCTGTCATCAATAAGTGTGACGGATGAGCCTTCATCCAAAAAGGCGTAGGTGTCAAACTTAAATCCGTTTCCGTGTAGTGTGACGTTAAAAATTCGGAAGTATTGTTCTTTTATACTGCTTTCCTTAAGGTGGGCACTGACGAGTTCGCGAAGCAGTAAGGGGTTGTCCAGATGTGAGTTTAATTTGCAGGACTCCATAGTTGCACACGCGTTCCGTACTGCCATTGCAAAGTCTATAAGAGATTGCAATTTGTCTTTGTGTACGTTGATTTTTCTAATTTTATCAATCAAACGGTCAAGGATTTTTTCCGGTCGCCCAAAGAAGGTTTTTAGGGTATCGATCACTTCTTGGACTAATGCTGGCAGCAGCAGCTTATCGCGCACCAACTCAAAAGCTTTGCCCTTAAGACACTTCTGAAGCCGGAGCATTGCCGTTAAAGGTGGGTAGATCCGGTGGTAGCACTTTTCTTGCGGCTAACTGGGAGGCACTTGGTCCAATTGGTGGGAATGAAATAGCCTGTGTTCCCTGCTCCTGTGCAAGCACCATGTATTTCTTCTCTATGTACCTTTTTTCAGCTTCGCGTGTCTCTTCCAGCATTGCCAACATCAAGGAATTTGAGCTAGTATGTGTGTGTGTTTGCTCGGTCAGCTTGTGCAGATTTATTTCTGGAGGTGGCTTTGAAATATTGCAATTGACTTGGTCTACTTGCACGGTGTTCCAGGGATTGATGTTTTCCGGAACTTGGGGCCGTCTGCCACCTTTGCTGGTTGAAGCTTGATCACTTGCTGGGGCCTTGCATGCGGTGCATGTCCATTCCAACTGCAAACACAAACAGCAATGGTGCTGTTTACACCAACACAGTCAAAGTGGTGCCAAATCTTGCATTTGTTGCATTGCACCCAGTTTTGGATGCTTTCTACAGATGCCACAGACCGTATCATCTCGTTCTATAGGCATGTTTATATACACATATGTTATTGACTTGTGCAATTTAACTTGATTTTGCTGTGTGTTCCCACGTTGCTTGTATTCGGAGCGATCTACTACAGCAAGGTTCTTACACATACATGGCTTTTACACTTGTGTGTGTGTATTTTTGTTTGTTTTCATAGATACGCCATGGTGGGTGAGAATCTTTAAAAGACGTGACCGGCCCGTACCAGTCACCTAACTGGACTACCCCTTCGGGGCTTCCCAGCTAAACTCACCACACACAGCTACGCACCTCATTCCCCGAGGGATCACCGCAAAGTATTACTTTGCGGGAATGGGCTGCCTACTTTAGGCACTCTCCGCCAAGCGTCGCTCCCTTTCGCATCTTCTCAAATCGCTCTGGATGTCTCTAAGGGTGTCGCAGACGCGCTTCCAATTCTCCTCGGACTCCGTCATGTAGGCCATCAGCTCCTCTGGTGGTGGGACGAACCATGTTCTTGAGCGGTACCTCGTGCAGTGGTGATGACATTCTCCGGATCCTCGCTCTCATGCGGGCACTCGGGACATTCAGGGGTGTCATCGTGTTTAAACCTGTGCAGGTACTTCCAGTAGCCTCCGTGGCCCGTCAGGAATAGGGTCAGGTGATAACTCACCTCTCCGATTCGCCGCCCTATCCATGGCTCGATGTCTGGAACAATCCTGTGGGTCCATCTTCCATTAGTGGCTGTGTTCCTCCTTGCCTGCCATGTTGCTATCGACGCCAGTCTTGCCGATGCTCGGATGGTCTCTGCCATTCTTCCTAACTCCGAGCGCTCTGCGTATAGCTGCGTCATCAGCATACAACAGGATCGAGGCCACTACTCTTGACAGGAGTAGTCGCCGGCCTGCCTTTGGACCCCCAATGTTGGGGAGAATCCTCGACAGGGCTGCCTGCATCCTGGAGGCTTTCTGGCTGACGTACTCGAGGTTGGCACGGTAGCTCAATCGGTTGTCCAGCATCACGCCAAGATACCTTATTGAGTCCTGCGACTTCATAGTCGCACTTCCCACCTGGAAAGACGCATACTCCACCTTTTTCCTACTCGTGATGAGAACGGCCTCTGTTTTATGGCCGGCCAGGTCCAGTCCTGCACCCTCCATCCATCTAGATACGATCCGGACTGCCCCTCACGTCGTCGCCTCTATCGCCTGGAGCTCCTTGGCCACCTCGACCAGTGCTAAGTCGTCGACAAAGCCAATCAGCTGGCATCCTTGCGGAAGCTAGATTCTCACGACGTCATCGACGTCAGTGGATCTCCGGCTGTCACCTTGTAGAGCTTCGGTCCTTCCTCCTTATCCGGAGCAGGTAGGTGGGGATTCCCATTCTTCCGAGGGTCTCCTTGATCCGGGTCCAGTTCGCTGAGTTGAACGCATTACGGATGTCCAGGGTCACAACCGCGCAGTACTCCTTCATGCCAAATCTCCATCGGATGCCCTCGATCGCCTTATATGCGATGTCGGTGACCGCTCTGATGGCGTCGACCGTGGATCTGGCCTTCCGGAATCCATACTGGGATTCTGACAGAGCATCCTTCTCTTCGATCACTGCTAGTAGTCTAGAGTACAAGATCCTCTCCAAGACTTTACCGACGGTATCCAGCAGGCATATTGGGCGGTATCCTGACGGTTCCTCCAGGGGCTTGTTTCCTTTAGACAAAAGGATTAGGCGCTGCACCTTCCACTGCTTGGGAAAAACTCCTTCCCTTAGGCATATGTTGTAGGTTGCTCCAAGCTTTAAGGCCTTGTTGGGGATCCCGTCTGGTCCTGGGGCCTTCTTGTCTCCGACTCTCCGGATGGCTGTCGTCACCTCCTCTGCGGAAATCGGCTGCCACAGTTCGTGGTCTTGGCGGTGTGGGTGTGGGTGGGTGTGGGTGCTGTGGAAAAAGTGCCTTCACGATTCTACGAAGTAGCATCGGGCACGTTACTTCCGGCGTTTCCTGGATTCTGATCTTCTTGGTGACGACCTTGTATGCCGTCCCCCAAGGGTTTATATCCGCCTCCTCGCATATCTGCTTAAAGCAGGACGACTTGCTGCTCTTTATTGCTCGCTTAAGGACTCGCTTGGCTGCACGGAGATCGTCTCCCAACGTGTCGAACTCTGGGAGAACCCCGCGCTCCCTGGTAGCATCTCCTCGACCATAGGCATGCTTTCCTGAGCTGGCCGATCTCTTCGTTCCACCAGTAGCAGGGTGCTCCTCGTCTGCTCGGCTTCCTTCGCGGCATTGCAGCGTCGTACGCCTCCTCTAGGCGTATTGCAAGTTGCAGATGCAGGCTATCTGCCGTTTCCCCCATTGGGCTCCAGTTGGCGTCGCGAAGACACTCCTTGAACGTTTCCACGTCCAAGTGGTTGTCCTTCCATCTGGGCCCGGTCGTCTTCGCACGCTGTCTCCTTCGACTTTCTTCGCAGTCAAAATGGATCGCCTGGTGGTCGCTAAACGTGAACTCCTCGCTTACTCTCCATGTAGATTTCCTACAGATTAAAACTGCTCATGAACGTCAGATCTATAATAGACCGACGTCCCGCCTTGAAGTACGTTAGCTTCCTTCTGTCATTTGCAAGCAGCACATCCAAGGACGCAAACTCCTCCAGCAGACACGTGCCTTTGGCGTTGGTCTCTCTGCTACCCCACTCCACTGACCACGCATTAAAGTCGCCCGCTATCACTAGGGGCGCTCTGCCGCGCGAGTCTTCTGCTATGTCTGATAGCATCCTCTGGAAGCGAGTTTGGTCCCAGCTCGGCGGAGCATAGCAGCTATAGAAGGCGATCCCTCTCAACTTCGCTCTGACGAAACCGTCGTTGACAGCGCATATCTCCCGTGGGGGGTTTTTTACAGACTAGATGGCTGCCTTCCCGCATCTGCTGTTCGTCCAGCCGCTTCCCGGTATCGTCCTGAATGGCTCGCATATAAGTACGACGCCCGTCTTCCGCTCTCTAACTGCTTGTCTTAGGAGAGACTGTGCTCCGCGGGCGCTTCGTTCCCCGTTTCGATGTGTGCGTCGTTTCCGACTGCTACGCCTGGCGTGGTCTGTGTTTCCACTGATGCCTTGGTTCTCTTCGTCCGAGGTGTTGGCGCACCTGCAGTCTGCTTCCTCTTTGGCTCCGGAGCCGTTCTAAAGAACGGGGAGGTCTGAGAAGACTGGTGGGATTGGCTCCTTCGTCATGTAGCTGGATGGCTACCAGCTCATACAGCACCCGTATGCTCTCGATCGAGTCCTGCATAGGGTGGTGTATCGAGCGCCTCTTCCCATCGTCGAGCATCTTCACAAGCTATGTGATTTGTCTTCCGAAATCGCGCAATGCTGTGCTGCTCTCCGAGTCCTGGCGTCGCACCGGGTCCGTGCGTGCTGCACGCGTCAGTCCGTTCGCCAGTCGGGGTCATTGCCATTTTGTTGATTTTTGTAAAGCCATCTACCTTCTCTTTCATAGTTTGGTGTTTTCGTACTCATTTGGTTGGGTCCCAACTCATAAGCCGTTGTCCTTGTCCGTTGTAATGTCGCGTTTTTATCCCATGGTTGTCTATGCAAGCAGGAAGGCCATGCGAGGGTTGACTCTCGCCCTTATGGGGTCGAGAGTTCAGAGCCGGATACGCGCTAGTCAGGAGTGACTTAACTGAGCCTGTACGTCCAACTTAATGGCGACGAAACAAGGAGCGTGCTTAGAGACTTGCCAATTTTTCACGGGACGGGGGCAGAAGCAGCATTAGCCTAACAGCCATTTCGGCAGGATTTCACTCCGCGTACTAAGGTGCTAGAATACTGACTTCCGTCAGCCCAGGGGTCGTCAGGTATGAAAAAGGGGGTTCCGATCCTAAGACTTTACTGGTCTCCGTCTTAGTCGCCTTCTCGTATTAGCTAGGTACTGTGCAGACCTATCCCAGGGGAACCTGGCATGTGCAGGCGTTTACGAGCTACTTTAGTGCTCTGGAGAGGAATCGACCTGTCCATTACCAAGTTAATGGAATTCAGGGTTCCGCTTACTACAAAGCACCTATCCGAGCATAACATCCCCGTGTCTTCTTAGTCGCCTCATAAGACAAGCTATGACGTGCTGTGGTGGTATTCTATTTCCCGCTCACCACTCGGGTGTGTGTGATTGTGTATGCGAGCGTCTTATGTATTTCGCAATTTTTTAAAATCCAAGCGTGGTTCACGATTATGTTTGTTGTTTGTGCGTAATTAAAAGTTTTTTAAAGAAATTTTGAGGCACTGGTGTTGAATATTTCGAAGCAATAAAGGGTAGACAAATTTATATAGCATTCCAATTAATTATGTGAGTTTAATAATAAGAGAGAGCTTTAAAAAACTTTGTGTTCTTGCTTCGCTGGTTTATCCTCAATTGTCTCTCTGTTTTAGAGTTGCCGAATGGTGGTGCTTATGCATGGTGGCGTTGCCATATGCGCCTACGTGGCTGTTATGGTTTAAATTTCAGAACTACTCTTTTAAGTTTAAATTTCGTCGGCAACAATAAATATTCTTGATCAGCATCAATAGCCGAGTCGTTATAGCCATGTCCGTCTTGATGAGCGCCTAGATCTCAGAGACTATAAGAGCTAGAGAAACCAAATTTGGTTTCCAGATTTATGTGAAGTGTATTTTTAAATTTCGCCCCGCCCCCTTCCGCCCCCACAAAGGACGAAAATCTGTGGCAGGCACAATTTTAAAGATACGATACAACTAAAAACGCAGTATCGTAGATAACCAATAACCATATCTACCAGATTGTCGAATCTGAATCAGATCGGATCATATTTATAGCCAAAATGAAGAAATTAATTTTCAGTTGCTTTCCCCGACTACTTCAGCTAGAGACCTGCTACTCGTAGAAGATGTAGAATCTAAATGATACATATATAATCTACATGTTAGATGAAGAATATACATTGTAGATGTAGGTAACAGATGTAGCCAACAAATTTTAAAAACTTAAAAATTTTTTTAAATTTTGAAATGAAAAAAAATTTTGTTTTTTTAAAATGAAAATAAAAATTTTTTATTTTAAAATTCTACAAAATCATGCTCAAAAATGTATATGCTGACTGAGTACGGGTATAAGTAGAGTCGCGTCCCCAGAAGCGTTTCCTTTTCGTTTCATTCTACAACTAAGTTGGATAAATTCATATTTCAGGAGAAGAAACGAATAGGAATCTCAGCGCAATGAATTTGTATGCGTATCGATTGATGATACGGTAAGAGGTTGACAATCATCTGTTGAAATATCATGGGTTTTTTCAACAGTACTGCGTCTATACGTAAAGGTCGAAACGGAGTAGCTCAATTTCATTCGTTTTAATCAGTCAAAGTTATGGTCAGAAGAGTACATCGACTTGCGTGACGCCATTGTTACTGAAGGAAACGCGGCCAACATAGGTTGTTTGACCATTCTCCAAGCTACTTATGTTGGAAGCCCGCACCACGTGCATGAGTATGCTCAAAATGCGATGACCTACTTGCGGAAATGCGGACGTCCGGATATTCATAACGTTCACTAGCACCCCGAAATGCTCCGAAATTACGAATCTGTTGTCGACAGGACAAACATCAAGCGATCGACATGAGTATTCAAACAAAAGATCAGAGTACTCATGAATTACATTGTTAAGGAAAAGGTTTTTATCGAAATTCGTTGTTGGATGTAATTGATTAAATGAAATAAGCGTGGTTTACCACATATTTTGCTTTGGATTTTCGACAAGATTCGACAAGATCATATTGATTCGATCAATTCTGCCGAAATACCCGATACAGATTCCAGACAACGAACATGATCCATGGGCTTTGCGGAGTCCAAAACCCAGACTTACCGTGTGTAACGAACCATGGTTCCCCATGGTTCGTCACAACTAAGTAAGACCTCTAAATCTCTTTAAATATCTTTAAATGTATAAGCATATAAATAAAAGCCAAGTAAGAATCTCAAATCTCCCTGAAGTTACATTCCTTTCCCACGGTACCGGTGCACACCGATCACCTTACCTGGGACATTGGACCCTTGTTGGGAGGCGACTACCAAGTAAAACCCCCACATGCGCGAGCCAGTCAGCAGTCTCCGACTCTCCTTACCGGGGATATGTGGTATATGGTAACCTTCTGTTACCGATCA